TCCCTCGGCCCTTAAAGGGGAAAGGCTGCCTACCCCTGCCATATAGGATGGAGCCGCAGCAGTTAAAGGGGTGTCAAACGGCATTCTTTCTACAGTGTAGACGCTCCCTAGGACTTTTGGTAGCTGGGGGATCCCCCACCCGGTCCAGAGGAAAGGGCGCCCCAAGAAGACAGGAGAGGCACCCCTATTCAAGGTGTCCCCCGTCTTTTAATGGCGTTGAAGGGAACGCGTGTCATTTCATCCAGCGGTGACTTCAGTCCGGGGTCTATGATTCCTGGAGGGGGAGATCCGAAGCAAAAGCCCCTGGAGAAATGAAAAAAGGATGGAAAAGGGAGAAGGAACGGATGGTCACAGGTGAGACCTGGAGATCTCGACTCCGGGTGAAGTTGATGCCCTGCAATGAACCTGCCCCTCTTCCAAAGTTTGGAAAAGTTGCTTTTTTGAGACTACAATTTCCCAAATTTCCCAGGCAGTGTATGGAAGGTGTCCTCCAGAACTTTTCCACGCTAGGTGCAAACTTGTACACTCATTTCACTGTAAGTATGCCCTCTGGGACTTATCTAGAGGATTTATTTCTGAGGCCCTTTTAGGCTACCCAGTTATAGTGCTGTGATGATGATGATGATGATGATGATTATCATTTATATGCTTCCTTCCCCCCTCCCCCCATAATGGGACTCAAAATGTTACACATGTTAAAATATTAATAAACTAATAAAATAATAAAATATAATAAATATATATAAATATATAAATATATAAAATATATAAAAATAATAAAAAATAATTACATAAAAAATAAAATAATAACATAATAATAAAAAATAATCACATGTTATTACAACCAAAATGGCCATGGCAATCCCCCTCTGAAGAAACTTGCCAAGAAAACCCCATGATAGGGTCGCCCTGGGGTTGGTTACCCTAAGTTGGAAAGGACTTGAAGGCACACAACAAGAACAACAACAACAATAATAATAGCAATAATAATAATAATAATAATAATAATAATAATAATAATAATAATTTATTTATACCCTGCCTTTAGCCTTGGCCATCAAGGCGGCTTACATCTAAAATCAGATACATAAAATAACCCTTCCAGTAACAATGAACCAATGTAAACTAAGACAATTTACCCCCCATTAAAAATACATTAAATTCAGTCTCAGTTAAAACTAGAAATTAAACAATAGACAAAATTAAAAGCCACATGAAGTAACAGATTAAAAACATATATAATCATCTGTTAATATATAGATAGAAAATATTTTTTTAAAAAACAGTTTAAAATATATCGAATTCAAACCATGACAAATAAATTAAAAGACACAATATTAAAACAGCCATAGCATTATAGAGTTGGAAGGACCCACAAGGGCCATCTAGGTCAACCCCTGGCCAGCCAGGAATACACAATTCAAGGCCTTTTGAAAGATGCCCATAGGCCATGAGAACTCACTGTATGACCTTGGGCCCTGGAAATCAGTGTTCGAATCTCCGCTCAGCCATAGAAACCCCGAGTGACCATGGGCAAGTCACACTCTCTCAGCCTCAGAGGAAGGCAAAGGCAAACCCTCTCTGAACAAATCTTGCCAAGAAAACCCCTTGTAGGTTCGCCTTAGGGTGGCACATAACTACTGTCAAGACCAGGGGTAGGCAACCTTTCCCCTTTAAGGGCCGAGG